AATAAAAAATTAAAAAAAAAAGAGGTAGATGTCACAAAATTTGTATGTTGAAGTTCTAACCCCAGTACCTCACAATGTGACTGTATTTGGAGATCAGGCCTTTAAAGTGGTGATTAGGCTGTTAGGATGGGCTCTGATCCACTATGACTGGTGCCCTTTTGAGAAGAAATTTGGAGACACAGAGAGACACCAGGGTTGAGTGACGCATAGAGGGATGACCATGTGAGGACACAGTAGCAAGAAGGTGGCCACTGACAAGCCAAGGAGAAAGGCCTAAACAAATCCTTCCCTCCTCCTCAGAGGAAATGACCCTGCCAGCACCTGGATCTAAGACTTCCAGCCCCAAGTCTGAGAGAAAATAAACTTCTGTTGTTTATTACGGCAGCCTAAGCACAGCAATTCATGGTGTATTTTAAAGCATATATCTTGTAAAATATCTTTGAAAAAGATCAGAAAGCAAAGAATAAAATTGAAAGTTTAATTTTTCCTTTTTAAAGAAGCAATACCTCAAAACCACAATGAATACCATTTCGTACCCATTAGGAAGGCTATTATAAAAAGAAACCCCACAGAAAATAACAAGTTTGACAAGGATGTGCAGAAATCAGAAAACCTCATGTATTGTTGGTGGGAATGTAACACGATGCAGCCTTTGTGGGAGACAGGATGGTGGTTCCTCAGAAAATTAAACACAGAATTAGCATACGATCAGAAACTCCATTCCTATGAGTAGCACCTGTGTTCATAGCAGTATTATTTACAACAAAAAGTCGAAACAATCCAAGTGGCCATCAACAGAGGAATTAATACACAAAGTGTGGTATATGCGTGCAATGGAATATTATTCAGCCTTAGAAAGGAACGAAATTCTGACACATGTGTTTGCATCATGGATGAACCTTGAAAAATTTGTTAAGTTAATAACAAAAAAAACAAATATTGTATGAGTCCACCTATATAGGGTACCTAGAGTGGGCAAATTCAGAGAGACAGAACAGTGGTTACCAGGAGCTAGGGGGGAACTAATGAGGTTTTATTGCTTAATTAGAGGCCCAGTGCACAGACTTGTGCACGGGTGGGGTCCCTTGGCCTGGCCTGCAGCTCTCTGACATGCCCCAAGGGGTTTCAGATTACGAGAGGGTGCAGGCCAAGTTGAGGAACCCCACCCGTGCACAATCAGGGCTGGGGAGAGACCACAGGAGGGCTCCAGGGCGTGTCTGGTCTGCCTCACCCATTCCCCATTGGCTGGACCCCAGCAGCAACCTATTGGTCAGAGCATCTGCCCCCGGTGGTCAGTGTGCATCACAGCTACCAGTCAAATGGTCAAACAGTGGAATGGTCGCTTAGGTTTTTATATATATGTAGATAGAAACACAGTTTCTGTTTGGGATGATGAAAAAGTTCTCAAAATGGATTATTGTGAATATGCTTAATACTACTGAACTGTATATGTTTACATGGTTAAAACTGTAAATTTTATGTTATGTGTATTTTATTACAATAAAAAAAAGACAATACCTGAGGAAATGGAATGTCATAATCCCTGTAGAAACCAGTTCTTTTTTTGTGGGAACTTTCTGTATGTCCGACATCTGAATCAAGGCTGTAGTCTGAACTGTCATCACTAGATGGAGAATTATGCTAAAAGAAGGAAAAAACAAGTATGTTACTTTGCAAAGAAAAGAATATTTAACTAGTAACTAGATAAGCTTATTTCAGCCAGAGGGGCTAATCAATAGATTACATTAGCCTAGTAGGTTCTAAAGTGTTTATTAAAAATTTCTTGCTCCAGCCCTAACCGGTTTGGCTCAGTGGATAGAGCGTCGGACTGCGGACTGAAGGGTCCTGGGTTCGATTCTGGTCAAGGGCATGTACCTTGGTTGCGGGCACATCCCCAGTGGGGGGTGTGCAGGAGGCAGCTGATCGATGTTTTCTCTCATTGATGTTTCTAACTCTCTGTCCCTCTCCCTTCCTCTCTGTAAAAAATCAATAAAATATATTAAAAAAATTTCTTGCTCCAAAGGCCACCCCCCAAAAAAATTCTCTAAAATTTTCTGAGGGAAAGCATATCTTCCCCTCATCTCAGGGACTTCATGACAGCATTTTCCTCATCATACTTTTGGCTCAAGGACTTCAAACAGGAAATACTAAATCTCTATGCTCTAAAGAAACCTTAGATATAAGTTAATTTTAAAGGAAATAAAGTTGGTTCCTTGTCACCAAAAAGGATTCTAGAATATGCATAGAGTATGAATTAATTTACTTTTACCTAAAATGGCTTTAGAGTTCTTATTCTATTATATAAGTACCCTAAAGCTAAAAGATATTAAAACATTCTAAATTATAAAATAAATCCAACCCATAAAACTGAACAAAAGTAAAACAGAAACCAACAGTAATTGATAAAGTGACAAATATCATTCTTCAAGTATAAGTACAATTTCTAAAAAAAAAAAAGCCACCAAATCTCCTCCATCTAGACAAAATAATTACATTCCCAGGCTGAGCATTCTTTAAAGAATTCCTAAAGGTCTTATCAGTGAAGAACTGCCTCTGTATTTTATCCTTATTGCATTCCCAGTATCTAGACCTAGAGCAAACTCAGTTAAAATTTGGCTGAGTTAACTGAACTCCGATGCTTTTAGAGTAGATGTTTTCCTCTACTACATTCTTTTTTTAAAAAAATGTTTTTATTGATTTCAGAGAGAGGAAGGGAATGGGAGAGAAACACCAATGATGAGAGAGAATCATGGATCAGCTGCCTCCTGCATGCCCCCTTCTGGGAGTCAAGCCAGCAACCTGGGCATGTGCCCTGACTGGGAATGAACCGTGACCTCCTGGTTCATGGGTCAATGCTGAACCACTGAGCCATACTGGCCGGGCTCCTCTACTACATTCTTAAATGCTTTTTAAGGAACACAATCTGTTTTCCTCTACTTTGTTCTTCAAATGTTCTGGGGTTTAGTTTTATGGTGCGGTTAGTTCTGTTTTTATTGACTCGATAAGTGATATGAAGAAACCTTTTTACAATTATGCTATGAAATGTTTCATGCTTAACTACCTAATCTTTGTTGGTAAGGGTTTGAAATAAATATTGTCCATTTAAAAGCCAAATTTGTTCAGTCGCTAACAGAAGTCAGCTCTAGCTCAAAGGAAAACTTTTCACTTAAAGAAGATAACTTGCTTAAGAAAGAAGTAGCGCAAATGAAGACTGCTTCAGGAAGAATTATCAGAGAATAGAAGTTCTTTGCTTAAGGGAGAACCTTATGGGCTCACATATATACTAAGAAGTAATCATGAACCTGGAATTAGCAATTGGTCTACATTAAAATAGCTGGAAATGCTAATTAAAAGTTATTAAAATTTTAAGTGAAAATGATGTTATACTTTTTTATCCTTTTTTTTTGGGTATTGTTGTATCTGTTCAAAGTGTTTGAAAGTGTTCCTTTATTTTTTGTTATTTTATTTATTATACACTGGTAGTTTATTTCCTTCAATATGCTGAACTTGATTAGTAAGTACTAAAGTTCAAGTCTAAATTATTTTGTTTATAGAACTCTTTACCAAAAAACATCACATCACATCATGGTGAGTAAAAAGGGCAAGACATAATAATTCAAGAACAAATTAACAGGAAGCCACTTGGTGACCCCCTTAAATATTCAAATAGTGACAGAAAGAACTTAAGAACTTCAGTGATTTCCCCAAACATGCAATTCTTTTTTTTTTTTAATTAAATCTTTATTGTTCAGATTATTACATTTGTTCCTCTTTTTTCCCCCCATAATTCCCCTCCTCCCAGTTCCCACCCCACCCCTTCCCTCACTCCCCACCCACTGTTCTCATCCATAGCTGCACGATTTTTGCCCAGTATCTTCCCGCATCTCCCACACCCCTTTCCCCCACAAGAATAGTCAGTCCATTCCCTTTCTATGTCCCTGATTCTATTATAATCACCAGTACATTCTGTTCATCAGATTATTTATTCACTTGATTCTTAGATTCACTTGTTGATAGATGCGTATTTGTTGTTCATAATTTGTATCTTTACCTTTTTCTTCCTCTTCCTCTTCTTATAGGATACCTTTCAGCATTTCATATAATCCTGGTTTGGTGGTGATGAACTCCTTTAGCTTTTCCTTATCTGTGAAGCTCTTTATCTGACCTTCACTTCTGAATGATAGCTTTGCTGGATAAAGTAATCTTGGTTGTAGGTTCTTGGCA